TCCTTTCAATTTTTTTATTCACTCATTTATTATCTTTAATTAATAAAGAATTAAATGCTAAGAATTGATAGGAAAAATTCAATTCATCGTTAACAAATTATCAAAAGAGGAAAATATTATAAGAAGTTACAAAAAAAAAAAAAAAGAAAGGTTTAAATTATTATGTAACATTTCAAATATTGAATTTATTAAATGTTAAATTCTATTAATATTACACTATTCGATTTTTCCATTTGTTGCATAAATTTTTCCAATTGAATTTTTAATTTGATATTTTCCAGCTTTTTTTTTCCGAGAATAAATTTAAAAAAAAAAAATTATAATTCTTCCTCCTTTCATAATACTTTCTTTTTTTTATTTTTCATCCAACTTTTATAATAATTACAATTGTATTTTGACTATTTTTATTTTAAAAAAATAAAATATTTTTGTTTAAAAAAAAAAGTTTATTAAAAATAAAATATTGTAAGATGAAAAGATTGCAATGGTAAAAATTGGAAATGAGAAAGAAAATACCGTATTTTCCGGAAATACCAGAAATACCAGAAATGAACATGAGAAATATACCGGAAAAAAAGGATGGGAAAAAAAAATTTTTTCTTTTTTTTTTTGTAGGTATTTGCGCCAAATGAGGTGAGGAAATGAATGATTTGTGATGCGAAAATAGATGGATTTAAGGGATTTTTCGGGGGGAAGTTTTATGACTATCAGTAGTTAAGATGTCACGAATCTTTTAATGATTAATTAGCTAATTATTCGCTTTCGTTACTACTCAACCTTGATCAAAGTAACTCAAACATACATCCCTGCCACCAAAATTTAGAGTGAAAAAAGAAATTTCAAAATTTCAAATAAAGCAAATTATGATTTATTATGATTTTTGCACCGCCACATGTGTGTGTGTGTGTGTGTGTGGGAGGGAGGGTATGTGGGGGGTGTGTGGGGGTGTGTGCGTAGGCGTGTGTGTGGCATTAAAAAAAAATTATTTGAAGTTTTGAAATAAATAAATGCAAAAATTTCCAAAAATTTTTTTCGAAGTAAATTTGATTTCATTTAAATGAATTGGTATTTAACAATTAATACTTTAACAAAATTTATTAAAGTAATTATTTCTCTTTCTTTCATCCTTCTCCTCTCTATTTCTCTCTCTCTTTCTCTTTTGCCCTCTCTTTATCCTCTTCCCTTTCTATCTCGCTATAATGAATACGAAATGTTTTATTAATTTACCGAAATTAATTCATTTGAAACAAATGCTGTCCCTTAAACTTCCGAACTTTTTCATTAATAAGCTATCTTGATGTTAGCAAAAAATCTTCGTGTTCACGTCCTTCTCTCTCTCTCTCTCTCTCTCTTTCTGTTCCTCTGTCTCTCTTTCTCATTCTCTCTTTCACTCCTCGGTATGGAAAATGAAAATGAAATGGGGTGAATGGAATGGAATAGACGGAATATATTGGAATATATCGGAATAGGATGGATGGGATGAATGGAATAGTATGGATGGTATCTATTGGAATATATCGGAATAGGATGGATGGGATGAATGGAATAGTATGGATAGTATCTATTGGAATATATCGGAATAGGATGGATCGAATAAAACGGAAGGGTTATACTGGAATATATTGGAATGGAATGGAACGGAGTGAATAGAATGTATTCGAATATATATTAAAAAAAAAATGGAATGTAATGTAATGGAATGAAGTGGAATAAATGGAGTGCAATAGAATGGATAAAATATACTGGAATATATCGGAATGTATTGGATAGAATATATTGGAATATATTAAAATGGAATATACTACAATTTATTGGAATGTATTGGAATGGAATGGAATGAAATGGATGGAATAAAATGAAATGAATGATATTAGAGTGGGATAAAAGCCACATCTGGTGGTGGTAGTGGGTAGCAATAGTTTTGGATCAGTCGGTAGATGTTTGCGGATGTTTGCTTGCTGTAAAATATATTGCTATTCTTTGCTTGCCTGCTTGCTTGCTTGCTTACTTACTTGCTTGTTTGTTTGCTTGCTTGCTTGCTTGCTTGTTTATTTGCTTGTTTGCTTGCTTGCGTGCTTGCATAAGCAAAAGCCACATGGGATAACCATCAGACAAAACCATACAATGTGTTCGATATTATTGCAATTGCTATTTCACCAATCGAAACTATCCATTGATTAACTCTCATTGCTAATTTTAAAAATGATCAATGATAATGATAATAGTAATGATGATAGTAATAATAATAATAATAATAATAATAATAATAATAATAATAATAATGACGACAATGGCGATGATGATGATGATGATGATGATGATGATGATGATGATGATGATGATGATGATGATGATGATGATGATGATGATGATGATGATATGAGATGATGATGATGATATTATATTGATAGAATAATGAATAATGTATTCTTTGTGTTT